AGGGAGACTTAGAATATAGGAGCTAAAACAAGCTGCAGATGCCTAAGCCTCAGTAGTGATATAGGGGAGGCAGCCAAATTCAAAGGAACTATACTTTTTTTTTTTTTTTTAAGTTACTTTCGGAATTGCTAACATTAAGAAATATATTCAGTGTTTCACTACACTCTTGTTCTATACTTAAGATCCAAGACTGTAACTAAGATTTCCATTATTTGTGAATTCCAGCAATGATCATATTAAAGCCTCGGTGCTTAGAGCATTTTTCATCAGGCTCTTCCTATTGAAATCAGCCTTATTTCAGAAAATTCATTTTATATTCATGTTCTCAAATAGCTTTCAAAAATTCAAAAACCAGGAGAAACTTGGTTTTACTTACAAACATCTACATGTAGAGTTTAGGCTCCCTAATCTGCGTAGCTGATACCAGTACTATCCCTCTATGATGTTGTAGTTGGTTTAAAGTCAGTAGATTAAAAGGACACATACAGAACTTCAAGTGTGCTCCCAAAGGGATTTTGATGAAGATTGATTAAAATATTGCGGATATTTCAGAAGTAACTCTCAAGCACTGCAATGATCTCTAACATTTTGTCACTTTGTGCTTACAACAAAATCCAGTCTCATGGCTTCAGTTATTTTATCAAGTTAAACCACTCCTTCCCTAGCTCTAACTCCTATCTCAAAGACTAGTTCTGCATTTCTACCTGGCAGGTGAGTTTCTTTGCATAAATATATACTTAAATAACTAGGAAGTTTATTACCATAGACTTTTAAACAAGTCCTCAAGGGGTAAAACAAAAACAATTGATGGAAAGTAAAAGTTTTAACTTAACTTTTTTTTGAATCAGTTAGATTTGTTCAAAAATAAAATGGCCTGCTCTGAAATGCCCTAAGCTCCATAACCTATGTAACAAACCTGCACACCCTGCACGTGCATCTTGAATCTAAAAATAAAAGCTGATGAGAAAAATAAACATAATCTTGACAACAACTTGCCAGGGGATAGTGAAGTAGAGATTCTAATATCACATAATTGGTCACACCGGATTACCTTCCAAGTCCCTTTTAATCCTGAGATTTTATGATTCTATAAAATTATTATTTTCTTCTCTCATAATATATTTAAAAAATATTTTTCTACCACTAAAGCTTATATGATTTACCTTTTTCCCATTACATGTAACATCTATCTTTAATTCCTGATGCATGGCTCAATAATCAATTGACTTCAACTTGTACATTTGATTTATTTCTCTTCATCTTGGTCTTTTAAAACCTTTTCCCCTGTCAGTAATTTTAATGTTAGTATGTACAATTTATTAATTCCAAATAATTTTGAAAAATATCTTTAAAAGAAGTCAACAATCTTGTGCTTAATCCAGCGTATAAATAAACATTTGTTTATATTGAATAGTTTAACTCTGATTGTCTCAAAATAGCTCACATAACCTTTGAGATTAAAACACTTGTTTACTTCAAAAAGAGGCTGAGGTCTCATTTAGTAGATACCTATAAAGTGCTTTAAAATGTTTTAGTGAAATGGGATATAAAAGATCGATGTCTAATTGAATATCTTATAACTTCTTCTTATTTATAGCTTGTTAAATCTATGTTGATTCACTACATTTTATAAGATGCTATTACAAAAACAAAATTATCAATTGATTTGGAAATTTTTATGACAAAAAATATTTCAAAAGTGTTTCTCCTATGGAGATATAGAAAGATAAATAGAAATAAACATTTCTGTAATATGTAGCCCTCAGTCTGAATTGTTCAACCTTTTGATACTTTCAATAAATACTAATAATCATCAAATACAACACAACTAAAATATTGATTCATGTTTTATCATATTTTTTATTTGTTTAATGTTTACAGGCTATATTCCCATTTATAAAATTGTTTGTAACTATATTTTCAATTGTTTCAACAGTGGTATGTCAAAAGTTAAGCAAATGAGGAGGTAGTTAGGTTTTGATGGTTATCAAACATGTACTTTGTTGACCTAAACAGAATGTAAAATTAACAAAGACAATAAAAAAGATAGGTTTCACAAATGTTTTTACAATGCATAAAAATGGGTGAATCCAATATGTAGATGACCTAGTATGCTGTGCATAAGCATAGATTACCTCAACTGCATTTAGAGTTAGGAACTTTCTTGAGTGACAGCTTCATTATACAATATACAGTTCTCTAGCCCTAGTCTAATCAGTAGTAAATCTTTAAAAAGATGTATTTATTTTATTTAAATCATCAAAATGAGAAAAATACATGCTAGACCAAAAATAAAGCCTATCTTAGTTATTTTAATATCATTGTTTCTCTTTGAAAAATGATGGAATAGTTAAAAGGAAACTCTTTGAAATATTGTAATGTTTATAATTTAAACACCAATCAGCAATATAGACATAACTAACACCTTGTTGAACTAAAAATGACATCCTATATATTATTTTTATGTCTTCCTATTATCCATTATGCATCAATAAAGAACAATTTTTTTTTTTAATGAGAATTCTCCCTTTTTTACAATGTAAATGATGTTTGGTTAAAATAAAACTAGGGACATATCTGCATGAAAAGCACAAAAAAGGTCACAACATAAAATCAAGTATTCATCATAATCACTTACTCCACCACATTTTTATCTGGCCTGAGGTATTTGTGTGAGGAGTATTCATTTATAACTCTAACATCCCGTCCTAGCTCTTCAATCTTCTGCAGCTCCCCAGTACCATCAGGCCATATCGACATCTGCTCAGAGTAAGTAAATTAATATAGTCAGAGCTCTCACATCAAAATAACCTTGAAAATAGTTCCAAAAAGATAAAGAGATTCAGTTACATTAGCAGTGATGTTGCCTAATGTCTTTCAGGGTTACTCTAATAACCTCCAGCCCTGAGGCTCAAAGGGCATGTGTGTGATTTCACACTTGTCCACATAAAAATAATGGTATACCCAAAAGTGATTCTCCTTAAATTGGGAAACCACCTGAAAAGGCCAAATATACCTCTGTGACACATCAAACTACTGATACAGTTTGATTTTCCTGACTGATTCATTATGGAAATGAACTCCTTTGGCGATCTTGCCTAGATATACCACTTTGAAATCCAATTTGGAGACCCAGTGAGTGAAATACCTACGACAAATGTTCTTTGTACATCTATGTCTTCCAGTATGTAAAATTCACATGGAAGAATGTATTATCCTAGAAAATACTGGAGAGAGGTTTGGAATTCATGCCAGTGAGTCTGAAATGTTATATTTAAAAAGAATCCATTTTAATACATGGTGCTTTTTATTACTTTCTAGGGCTCTGTAGATACTTTACTGATCTTAATAATCTTCAAGAATGCTGAGTATTTTAAAGAACAAATGGAAACATTATAAGTATGATATATATACACACACATATACATATATATATAATCTAATCTTATTTTATGCAGAACCAACACAATTGCCATACTAAATTTAGTGTGTGTGTGTGTATATATATCCCAAAAAATTCCACAGGCCCCTGGCTGTCTCTATGACCAACTCCATCCTTTCCTATCTTTCAAGATAGATAACATGGACACTAACTTGAGTTCACATGTCTACATATGAACTAATGACGGTATAAATTATAGTATACACAAAATTTACTAAATAAAGATGTAAAACATATCCAGGCCTGTCTGTCAAGGGATTTTATGAATAAATTAAAAGAGAGTACTGTTTCTTTGCAAAGGATGAGTTAAAGTTCTTTGAATGCTTTTAAAAATCGGGTCAAGTTTATTCTACCTTTACAATTAAAATAGCTAAATAACTTTGTTTGCCTTGGACAATTTATTGCATTCCTTCAGGAAGAAATGGCAAGAGATACAGAGACGACTCCTCAGGCTACCTCCTATTCACTTTGCGAGTTAGTGGAAGACTGTCCTCTTTCCAAAACAGCCGCTGATGAAAGGGATCTATTAAAAAGAATTGCGTTGGTTTACACTGCAGATTGAATGGAGCATTAAACGACTGCATTAGTATGACTGCAGTGGGGGTAATGGTGGCCTCTGTAATGTGGTACTAACACTTTCACATACGTGTAATGATTGCTCCCTTGTCCTTATCTAATTTGTCACGAAATGGCATTTAGCATCTCTCTGGCAAATGCCCCCCTCCCAACTCCCTGTGCCCTACCGTTTTATTTCCCCACCCCCCACCCCGGTAAGTGTAAACAGATGAGGAAATATGTGTACTTTCAAATCGTCACCCATGTTTCATGAAGGTGGGGGTTTGCTGCAAATCACTTGGAAACCGCTCCCCGGAGGCGTTTAGCGATACCGCCCACCCAAACAGCTCAGATGTTCTTAATTTGATCACTCCCCCCCAACACCCCACCTTTTGGGCTGTAATTTTCCAAACAGGCATCTCTCTCATCTGCAAAGAAAAGTTACAAATCAATCCACATATACAGAATGCTGACTTCCCGACACTCAATTTCACAGGGTGTCTCTTGAAGAGCTGCCAGATTGTGACCGCTAACGGGGGAGAAGGAGAGGGGGACCGAGCGAGCGAGCGAGCGAGAGAGAGAGAGACAGAGGGAGAGAGAGAGCGCGCGCGATCACTTGCTTCCTTGCTTCCTAAGCCTGCGAGAGGACTGCGGCGGCTGATTTACACAGTTGGCGCGGAGGAGGGGCCGGGGGTGAGGGGGGACGCGCTGGCGGAGCTCCGGCTCTGAGCTGATCTGGGGGCTCCCGAGCGCCGCTCCCTGGGTGCGCGGTTTGGGGGCGGCTGATGGATTTGCATTCAGGTTCCAGCCCTGCGTTTCCCATGTAGGCTCCTTATACCCGACCTGGCGCTCCCGTTTTGGAGGAGACGTTGGTGAGTAACGTGTAACCCGATTTTAGCTATTTCCTAGGCCACTGAAGTGGCACTTTTAAAGCAGGTCAGTCTTAAAAGATGCCGCCGCCGCCGCCGCCGCCGCCGCCGCGAGCGTCTCCTTGGCCTGAAACGTTCGGCGGCCCCCTCCCCCTCCCGCCCCCCTCCCCCGCACCTTCTCCCGCTCGAGAAGTGAGGCTGCTTGAATGGGGAGCTGTCAGGGGACTCACTCTCGGCCCAGGGATCGCTTCGCCTTCGTGCTCTGCCTGAGGTCGCCCCAATCCAAGTGGAATTTGGTGTGCACAGCCATACTGTGTGTGCGTCTCCTCTCCCTCTCCTCCTCTCCCCCCACCTTCGCCGTCTGACCAATGCTGGGATCGAGATCCAGTCGCCCCCTTCCTGCCTCCTTTCCGCCTCTCCCCACCCTTTTCTTCTCTGGTCTACACACCACCCGCCCCCTCTCCCACCCACCTAAAGGGCAAAGAGCAAAGACACCCTGGAACAGCAAGGGCCAATTCCATCTTCGCGGATGGAAGGAGGCCTCGGGCAGGGATTGCGCTGTGAGTGACAACCTTTCAGGAAGAGAGGAAGGGAGAGATCCGGAGATGCGCTCGGGCCCTCGGGAACAGCGAAGCCCTCCGCTGACCAAGAGCACCGAGGTTTTAAATAACAGGAACGCGGTCCTGGGACACTCACTCGCCTGCCTGCCTGCTACCGCGGGCACGGGGAGCTGTGGTCTGTCCTGAGCTCCCGTCACTGGCATCGCCGCGCTAGGTGCGCGCCCGGCTCTCCCATTGGTATGCAGCGACCATTTCCCTGCAAGTCTCAAAGGTGGAAACGTTTAAACGGATTACAAGCGTGATTTGGTAGCCTTTCGGAAACTTGGTGGTCAGAAGAGGAGAAGCTACAAGGCTACAGGATGATGGATACAATTCCGCCTCCCAGAGAGTTTGCCCCTCCCGCTGGGAAGCCCCTCGGAGCAAACCTCGGAGATCCTGAGCGCTCTGCACCATAGGTACTCGCCGCCATCCTTTCCTACTCTTCCTAATTGAGACCAGTCTTTCTGGTATGTAGGGTGTGCATTGTAGAGCACATCGAGTTTGGCCGCGGTGTCTTCTGTACGCTCACAGGTGCTAGGGGTTTGCTGCAGTTTTGATCTGGATCAGTTAGGTGTAAGGACGTTGATGGAAGGAGGGGTCCTGGAGACTAACATACCCTCGGACCTCTTTTCTGGGTGAAGATATCGTAAGTAAGTCCAACAAATAGGCCAGGTGGCAGAGCGAAGGACCCCTCCCCCGGTGGATTGCTCGCTAGCGTTGGAAGAGGTGGAAGGAAAAAGGCTTGAGCTTTTAATAATTTTCCATTTCTAAACAGATCATTGTGCGTTTCGACTGACGACAGCAGATTAGAAAAGGATCTACAGACGGCTCAAAGCTCTTCAGAAAATGAATGATGCAGCATTTTAATTATTTGTTCTAGGGACGATCGTTTTGCATCCATGTTGGAATATTTAATCTTAGATTAAATATTAGGAGAGATTAGTAAGCTGTAAGATCCAGCAGTGGGGAGGAGGAAGTGGGAAGGGGGCACAGCGGGGAGAAAGGGCTTCTTGTCCTCCCTCTGGACAAACAAATGGCTCTGGGCGCTCCCAGCAGGACACGGAAAAAACCGGGGCCCCAAGGCTCAACATCCCCTAACTTTTGGAGCTCTCCCTATCCTTTAGACTCACTATCCTGAGCTAAAGGAAAGGAAAAAGGTGAGATAGGCTTTAGAATACAGCCCAGGTCCAGAACTTAAGGGGTTGGAGTTCAGGAAAGAACAGAGACTTCATTGCAGAGACAACCATTTACCGTCACCTGGAAGCTCAGGGTAGCCTCCCGGATTACCCATCGATTCCATCACATCATGGGATCAGATAAGACCCGAGAAATAGTCACCGCCTCTGCACGTTGGGTACCCAAAGTGCTGGGCGGGGGATGGGGGGATGTGGGTGCCAGCAGCTGGGGAGGGAGATGGAATTGCTCTGATTCTGAGCTTAGGCTATCTGTATTGGTTTACTTCTTGGCTGAGACCTATGGGAGCAATAGGGTGGGTCTGGAATATTAAGGGTAGAATGTTAGAAAATTCTGCCCTCCTGCTTACTTAGTAGTAAGGTTGCATGTTTCTAATATTAGCTACTGTGTGGCAGTGGACTCATGTGCGGTCATTTCGAATGCAAAATATCATGGAAATTGCCTTTGACTTTTAAGGAACGCGTAGTTAGGTGATTTATCTGATTTAGAGCAGTAAGAAAGTGATGTGTAATCTGTGCTTTGCTTTAAAATTTGCTTTTGTAAAGGGTGCTTTAAGGGAAAACCATCTCTACCTACTAACTTTGAGCCCTTGGGCAACTGAGGTTCAGTTTAGTTCTTTAGCAACCAGAAAGTCCCTCCTTTCTCCCCTACCGGCGAGTTGGTGACAGGATTGGTGTGTGCTGGTGGGGGGAGATGGGGAGCATCCACAGCACAGGGTTCCTGGTCATTGGACTCCTTTGCTGCACACTTGGCGCTCCCCAGTTTCCCCACCAAGCTGCATTCCTTCCCAGCAGGCAGGACTGTAATGCTATCTGCTGAGCCTTAAAAAAAAAAAAGAAAAAAAAAAGAAAAAAAAAATCCCTCAGAGAGGGTTCCTGAGCTATCATCTGGTAGTCATTCTGCAATACAATAACTTCCTTTAACCACCTCCACCCCCACTCCCACTACTCCCTAGGATTCCCTTCCAGAAAATTTCACGGAGAAATATTTGAGTTTTAAAAAATAAGAAAAAAAAAAAGAAAGAACGGACAAAAGCATCCAAATCCTTAAACCCACCCCAATCCCGCGAGGTCTTTCCCGGTGGCAGCATGTGAAATGTACCATTGTTACCCAACTGGTCTGTCTCTCCATCCCAAGAACAGGCTTGTCTCTGTTTTTAAAAAGGTGGAAGAAAACAAATGCTGTTGAATCCAGGGGAAATCGAAGGCTTTGACCTGCAGCACAACAAAAGAATTCCTGGTGCAACGGGATCGAAGCAAAATGCAGAAGAAACTCGGTCCAAGTCTTTCAGGCTGTCTGAGCTCTTACTCGGGATACCCCAGCAGAATCAGCCAGATTCGGCTTTTCTGCTTTGGGGACCTGGATTTTCCCCTCATCCCCGTCATTGCAGAGAATGTCTGTCCTGTGAAAAAGATAATTCCGAAGGATAGTCTCACTTTTCAAACCACCTGCACTAGAGAGAGGAGCTTTGGAAACTAGAGGAGGAAATCATCCCAGGGATGGTTTCCTTGAGAGTAAAAAAAAAGGAGAAAGAAAATGCCTATCCCCGCCCCCCTCCCCCATCTCCACCTTCCCCACCAAAGAGATGTTTCCCGTAGGTTGGTCTCCTCCCCATTTTCTCTGGTTTCTTATTTTGTCAATTTTTGTTCTCTACCCCTCCTCTTCTTTTACACACACACACACACACACACACACACACACACACACACACACACACACCACTCACAGCTGTATAGTGAGGGCTTCCTAGTGCTCGCTCCCGAACCAATGCTAAGCGCGTTCCCCTTGGAGCTCATTTTCATGACGTGGAATGCCGGATTCAGGGTTACAGCACACATGTTTTTTAAAAGCCCGAACGAGAGAAGTCAGGGTCTGCCCTGTGACCGAGCCTTCCTCCTCCCTGCCTCCCTCTCGCCCTTCCTCCCAGTGCCCAACGCTGTGCTGTGGGTACCAGAGAGAGCAGCCGCCGCGGCGGCAGCGGCAGGGGCAGGGGCGGCGGAGCTGGAAGCCTGCTGCAGCCCCTGCTCCCTCCTCTGCTGAGTGTGCCAAGCGGCAGTTCTGCATGCTAAAGAAGCCCATTGAAGAGCCCATTGCATTCCCAGCACGTCTCCAGCTTGCTGCTTTTTTTTTCCTCTTAGTCCCCCACCACCCACAACCCCCTTTATCCCCTTTTGCTTCAGCTTCAGCAAAGGGAAGGGAGAGGGAGGGAAAGAAAGAGAATCCTTAAACTCAAGCAGTTTTTTTTTCTTTTTCTTTTAACTGTTCCTTTCTAATAATTAAATACACAAACAAAGAAAAAACAAACAAAAAAACAACCTCTGGCAAAATAGGTAAGTCCAAGACATCTGGAGCCTTTTTTGCCTAAACCACAGGGACCTGAAAGACCAGAAAAATATTTAAGATGGTGAAGAAGGAAGAACTTCAGTAGATTTTAATATTTTATGAGGGAGATGGAAGACTAACTGATACTGCAATGTAGCCTTTTCTGCCTTCTCTCTCTCCTTCTTTTTTATTTAATTGTTTTTAAATTTTGAGTATTGCATATCTGAGGCAGATTTCTCTTTGCTTTCTCACCTTATCACCTTTCTTTACTGCTGTGAACATTATATCCAAGTGTAGTGTGAAGATTTATTTTTTCACTTTTCCTGTAAATTATAGCATTGTTTTAAGTAAACGGTTGATGAAATATACCTTTCTGTGTGCTATCTGTGAGGAAAATACATGCTAGAAACTTTGGTTTATTTTTATTGATTAAAATCAGTTATTCAACTTTGATTGATATTTTAGTGACTCAGGAAGGACACTGTAATAAAACTGCATTATTGCTTATTTATGTAAAACATTTTTATATACTGATGTTATTAGGCAAGGAAAGTGATTCATAGAGGAAGACTATGTTATCAGAATAGTGCACTGCATTTGTTTTTTCTGACTGGAAAAGAATTATATCTTTTTTGAAATGTATTTCATGTGATAGATCATTTATCAGCAGGTAAGAACAGAGGTTTCCACTCTCTCTCAACTTTCACTACCCACCTCCCTTCTAACCAGCCACCTGTTATTCCAGCCTTTTACAGGGTTCCTCGGTTGATCTTGAAGGCACAGATACATATTCCAAACTAAGCTCTGCAAATGTTTTAATTCAGACATTCCCAGACTCAGCATCCTCTAGCTGTCACTATCTTTAGCTCTGACAATTGCATGGGCATGTTCTTTAGAAGGGCTAATCATTCCTACATGCTTTAAGTAGCCAAATGATACAAATACATAAAAAATATTTATTTAGTTAAAGAAGATGACAATAATCTATTTTGGGGCAAAAGAATGTGGATGTATAGTGTACATACTGACTATACACTGTAATAATGCATATTATGATCATTCCATAAAAATAAACCTTAAGTTTTCCTGAGATGCTAATAATTTTACACATTTCAACATCTGATATCGAGCAATAGGCTCACACTTTTTCATACAAATTAATATAATAGTTTTGGAGTATGTTATGTCTTTTTAATAGTCAAAACCTATAATTCAAAGAACATATTTTTCTCATCAGAGTTCCAGTCAGATTTATTATGACTATATTTGATGTCACCATGAGTTTTAACAGACAAACAGGTGTAATGGCTACATTATTGCCATTATTACTGAGCCTGCCTATGCCTAAAAGGCAGTACCATTTACCAGTTATGTTGTTTGTTATACAGAGGCAATGCAAGCTGCTTTTGTTCATGTAGTATGCCATTTACCAATTATGGCATGTTTCAAAAAAAAATGCCAGTGCATGGTTCAATATTGCAGAGTCTTCTAAGTTTAAAATATAGGACACACTCTAAACATTAAGCATGTTGCTAGCTCATTTTGAGTGTCAGTTCAACAATTGCTGAAGTTTTTATATAGCTCTTAAAATGCCCCACATGTAGGAGTCAATTAAAATAGTACATATGACTAAAAGCTAAAAATCTGCATTTTTATTTCTGTTGCAGTTTTGTAATCAACCGCGAACGATGAAACCTTCCATAGCTGAGATGCTTCACAGAGGAAAGATGTTGTGGATAATTCTTCTAAGCACAATTGCTCTAGGATGGACTACCCCGATTCCCCTCATAGAGGACTCAGAGGAAATAGACGAGCCCTGTTTTGATCCATGCTACTGTGAAGTTAAAGAAAGCCTCTTTCATATACATTGTGACAGCAAAGGATTTACAAATATCAGTCAGATTACCGAGTTCTGGTCAAGACCTTTTAAACTGTATCTGCAGAGGAATTCTATGAGGAAATTATACACCAACAGTTTTCTTCATTTAAATAATGCTGTGTCTATTAATCTTGGGAACAATGCATTGCAGGACATTCAGACTGGAGCTTTCAATGGTCTTAAGATTTTAAAGAGACTATACCTACATGAAAACAAACTAGATGTCTTCAGAAATGACACCTTCCTTGGCTTGGAAAGTCTGGAATATCTGCAGGCAGATTACAATGTCATTAAACGTATTGAGAGTGGGGCATTTCGGAACCTAAGTAAATTGAGGGTGCTTATTTTAAATGATAATCTCATCCCCATGCTTCCAACAAATTTATTTAAGGCTGTCTCTTTAACCCATTTGGACCTACGTGGAAATAGGTTAAAGGTCCTTTTTTACCGAGGAATGCTAGATCATATTGGCAGAAGCCTGATGGAGCTCCAGCTAGAAGAAAATCCTTGGAACTGTACATGTGAGATTGTACAGCTGAAGAGTTGGCTAGAACGCATTCCTTATACCGCCCTGGTGGGAGACATTACCTGTGAGACCCCTTTCCATTTCCATGGAAAGGACCTGCGAGAAATTAGAAAGTCAGAACTATGTCCCTTGTTGTCTGACTCTGAAGTAGAGGCTAGTTTGGGAATTCCACATTTGCCATCAAGTAAGGAGAATGCATGGCCAACTAAGCCCTCCTCAATGCTATCCTCTGTCCATTTCACTGCTTCTTCTGTTGAATACAAGTCCTCAAATAAACAGCCTAAGCCCACCAAACAGCCTCGAACACCAAGACCACCCTCCACTTCCCAAGCTTTATATCCTGGTCCAAACCAGCCTCCCATTGCTCCTTATCAGACCAGACCACCAATCCCCATTATATGTCCCACTGGGTGTACCTGTAATTTGCACATCAATGACCTTGGATTGACTGTCAACTGCAAAGAGCGAGGATTTAATAACATTTCTGAGCTTCTTCCAAGGCCGTTGAATGCCAAGAAACTGTATCTGAGTAGCAATCTGATTCAGAAAATATACCGTTCTGACTTTTGGAATTTTTCTTCCTTGGATCTCTTGCATCTGGGGAACAATCGTATTTCCTATGTCCAAGATGGGGCCTTTATCAACTTGCCCAACTTAAAGAGCCTCTTCCTTAATGGCAATGATATAGAGAAGCTGACACCAGGCATGTTCCGAGGCCTACAAAGTTTGCACTACTTGTATTTTGAGTTCAATGTCATCCGGGAAATCCAACCTGCAGCCTTCAGCCTCATGCCCAACTTGAAGCTGCTATTCCTCAACAATAACTTGCTGAGGACCCTGCCAACAGACGCCTTTGCAGGCACATCCCTGGCCCGGCTCAACCTGAGGAAGAACTACTTCCTCTATCTTCCTGTGGCTGGTGTCCTGGAACACTTAAATGCCATTGTCCAGATAGACCTCAATGAGAATCCTTGGGACTGCACTTGTGACCTGGTCCCCTTTAAACAGTGGATCGAAACCATCAGCTCAGTCAGCGTGGTTGGTGATGTGCTTTGCAGGAGCCCTGAGAACCTCACCCACCGTGATGTACGCACTATTGAGCTGGAAGTTCTTTGTCCAGAGATGCTGCACGTTGCACCAGCTGGAGCATCCCCAGCCCAGCCTGGAGATTCTCATCTTATCGGAGCACCAACAAGTGCATCACCTTATGAGTTTTCCCCTCCTGGGGGCCCTGTGCCACTTTCTGTGTTAATTCTCAGCCTGCTGGTTCTGTTTTTCTCAGCAGTCTTTGTTGCTGCAGGCCTCTTTGCCTATGTGCTCCGACGGCGTCGTAAGAAGCTCCCCTTCAGAAGCAAGCGGCAGGAAGGTGTGGACCTTACTGGCATCCAGATGCAATGCCACCGGCTGTTTGAGGATGGTGGAGGTGGCGGTGGTGGAAGTGGGGGTGGAGGACGACCAACTCTTTCCTCTCCAGAGAAGGCCCCTCCTGTGGGTCATGTGTATGAGTACATCCCCCACCCAGTTACTCAAATGTGCAACAACCCCATCTATAAGCCTCGGGAGGAGGAGGAGGTGGCTGTTTCATCAGCCCAAGAAGCAGGGAGTGCAGAACGTGGGGGTCCCGGGACACAACCACCGGGAATGGGAGAGGTTCTCCTAGGAAGTGAGCAGTTTGCTGAGACACCCAAGGAGAACCACAGCAACTACCGGACCTTGCTGGAAAAGGAGAAGGAGTGGGCCCTAGCGGTGTCCAGCTCCCAGCTTAACACCATAGTGACGGTGAATCACCATCACCCTCACCCTCACCACTCAGCGGCTGGTGGGGTTTCAGGAGTAGTTGGGGGAACTGGTGGAGACTTGGCAGGGTTCCGCCACCATGAGAAAAATGGTGGGGTGGTGCTCTTTCCTCCCGGGGGAGGCTGTGGTGGTGGCAGTATGTTACTAGACCGAGAGAGGTCACAGCCTACCCCCTGCACAGTGGGATTTGTGGACTGTCTCTATGGAACAGTGCCCAAATTAAAGGAACTGCACGTGCATCCTCCTGGCATGCAATACCCAGACTTACAGCAGGACGCCAGGCTCAAAGAAACCCTTCTCTTCTCGGCTGGAAAGGGCTTCACAGACCACCAAACCCAAAAAAGTGATTACCTCGAGTTAAGGGCCAAACTTCAAACCAAGCCGGATTACCTCGAAGTCCTGGAGAAGACAACATATAGGTTCTAACAGAAAGAAGAAAATATATTAGTGCTTTTTTTTTTTTCCAAAAGAAAAGGAAAATAAAAGAAATATATTCCTTGCTCCCTTTACACGTGTCCCAATAACTCCATTCTCACGATCTTCCCTACCCTGAACAAAACTGAAACCGCATGATAACTAGAGAATACAGATGTATGCTCTCCCCTCTCAGATGTGATTTGGAGGAAGGGCCATACTCAGATCATTAATCAATGAAGTGCCTTCGCAGACTTTTGCCAGCAGATGTTATCATTATTTTTTTATACTGAAACTTGAGACTTTGACTGTGCCATGTATAAGGTATACTGGGGATCATTGTATTGATCCTAATTAAGTAAACTTCAATGTGTCTTTTTATTTTCAGTAACTATTTTTTTTTTAGTTGTAGTTTTGTTTGAAAGGGAGGGGGGAACAATTTGACATTTGTCATTTGTGGCTTTCTTTCTTCTCATCACGGCACAGATTCTGTACATGTATTAACAATGCAGTTTGCTGCATGCCTGGAAACTGCAAGACGGGGAGGGAGGGGGCGGGTCTTGCTCGAATGTTCTCACTCACTCTCTTGTCTCTCACACGCATATCCATCTGCAGATTGTGGTCCCTAAACCTGCAGTTTCTTCCTGCTGGTGCAGGTACACACACACACACACAAACACACACACACACACACATGCCCTATACCATTCCCATTCAACCCAATCTGCTTAGTTCAGGTTTGATCCGTTTTTCTCCTCTCCATAGTTCCATTACCCTTCACTGCTAGTGTACAGCTCATAGCATCTCTCCTGTCACCCTGGGAAAAGTCACATTCTAGGCTGGATTCTACTGAAGTGGAGGCCTGGAGGTTTAACAGCCGAAGACATGCGCCTAGGGATAAGCACCCTCTTTGTGACACTTCATCCTGATGCCAAGATTTTTTGGAGAACATCTGCACTTTCTTATATATATATATAATATTAAAAAAAGCAACTGGGTATATATCACTAACAGCTTTGTAGGAAGTACTTTTAATGTTTTCTCTCTCACACAAAGATTCAAAAGAAATGTGCATATATTTATTCTGTAATTTCAGTGATTATAAATTGTAAAGGTAATGTTTAATCATTGTATAGTGATTATGCGTCTGGTATAGCTTTCCTAATAAAAAGTTTTTGAAAAACATAATACATTATATATAGAGGATACAAAGCTTGAACCTTAAACTCCAGCTATGCCATGCCTTTCGTGCTCCCATTTTAAAAAATGTTTTCTTTTACTTGTTATGCAGAAAGTAACTTATTAACAGGTTTGATGCACTGTGATGTTGATAAATATTACTACCCACCATCCCAAATCAGGATACGATTGAGACTTAAAATCTGACTTATAGTTTACATTTTTTTCTTGAATTATGAATTTCAATCTTAGTAATCAATGATGCACTTTTTCCTAGGCAAGACACAAGGGGGAGAAAATAAAGCAACTAGATTGATAAGAAGGACAGGATTAATTAGGAGAAGGTAATCAAGGATCCATACAGTCTAATAAATGACATAAAGAAACCAGAAAGTAAAATTGCGATTGTTTTTAAAATCTGTAGTTGAATTACATGCACACCTTCAAACACCCACACGCTTCCACGCACACACAAACACACCACCCAATAAACATGAAAGGCCTTGGAGCCAATTTAGAAAGTCAGAATCCTGTGCAAGATGTCACTTACTTACATTTGGCTACCATTTTCCAGCCACTTACAGCAACTGGCCCCAATAACTCTTGACCTAAGAAGATGTTGAATGAGTTTTTCTTCATATGACATTAAATGATGTAGAAAAGTTAGCCTGACCACAGGCCAAGTTTAGATCCATTTATATGTGAGCGAAACCAAAGAATATTGGATTTTTACAGTGCTGGTATCATGTTGGTGGAGGAAACGAAGAAAACAGACTTTGAGGCAGGCATTTATCTAAGTAGGCCATTAGAGGGCAGCAGAGCTCCAGAGATCCACAGACCCAGGCCCTGCAGAACTGCGCGTTGAGGCCAGGGTTCTCGGCTGTGTTTTCTCAAAGTGCCCATGGTAGGGATTATCATTACGTGTTGAATGTAATTCATCACAAGTCACTGATGCCTTACATCACATTTTTTTTCCACAAAAAGAGAATGAGTCTAGCAGCTTCTGAAGGTGTGCGACTAATATAGCACGAAGGCATTGTAGCAAAAAATAATTAAAAGCCCCATGAATGTTTACGAGAATATATTTATATATCTCTTGATTAACTATATGGAAATGTCAGCATAGGTACGCATAAAAATAAAAAAGACAAGTATATCCACATAAAATTGCAGTTTGGGGGCACTTGACATGTATCTATTAACTTTCAGCCTCAATTATTTGAATATATTTTGGAATTGTTTTTGAAGGAAAAAGCCCAAGAACATCATTCACTTAATCTCTTTGTGTAATGTTGAAATGAAGCTCTCTGCTGGAGAGTTAGGCCCGCGATTAAATACGTGTCATTCTCCTTTTTTGTCTTCTCCTTTAAAAAAAAAAAAAAAAACTTTTCTTCTCGTTATCCCATCTTATTTATTCTTTCTAATCATCTATTTCCTTTTTTTAAGTCATGTAAAACTAATGTTACACCTTAGGTGTTTTAAAACTCAAATTACAGAGTCCCTCTGAACTAGCAATTTGTCATACTTCCATTCCCCCTAATCAAATGGTTTGAGGAATAATAGAAAGTATATGCACAGTAAAAACTCAAAGTACAAAGCTAGATGCTTTGGAAAATAGTCATCATTTCCTTAGTGACCATGCACCTATTCACAATACAGCATATTATAAAAATCAGGTTAAAGTACAATCTCAAAAGTCCCTGGTGCTTTCCATATTTGAAAAATGAGTGTCCATAAATGATATCAAATCACAATATAACTTGATGATTATAATGTTTATATTTTACTTATTAAACACAGAAAGTAAGATTGTTTGGCATTAAATATAGGTGGTATTTTCACCCTTGAATGAGGAATAAATTTATTTATTTGGTGAAAATAAATTTATACGAGAACGGAATTTTGTATTTAAGGAAATAGTTTTTTGCTTTTATGGAATTTTCTACCCCCTGGTTAGGACATTTATTTTTGCTGTGCATTAAAATTGCCTAAGTTAGTTTCAATTTATAATGCCAGATCTGTCTTCATTAGACACAATGAATATTAATGTAGGTACTAGGATTATAACATGTTTTATGTTTTTGCTGCAGTAAAAATATTTATTTTAAAGAAAGAGTTAGATTACTAATTCACTTGATGGTGATTACTAACTTGACTGAAGCAGACCCAGATCTGACAGGTATTTGCTACTATTCATTGCTATTTTTATTACTAAGTATAGTAATAATATTTAGAAATAATAAAAATATTGTTATATCTCTTAAATTGTAAGAGGTTAGTGAGAAATAATTGGAAATGAACTATTAGTTTAATTCAATAACAGTTTTAACATCATGTTATACATCATATGTGGTATTATTTATGTGGACGTTTTTATATTTTTATTTAGAATGCTATATTATTTTATCTAATTGCAAATACTTAAAAATAAGGATGATGAACACTATAATTTTAATAAAGTTTAGAGAGAGAGAATCAAAAAGAAAATTTAATGACTGAGCTTGAACATTTTTTTAAACCTGGCAATATTATTTTAAACCTTTGGTATTTGAAAAGAATATGTTTAGGATTATAAAAATTTATAATGCAAATATAGAACAAAATAACTTTAACCATCACAACACATTATTTTGATTCACTTAGTGTAAATTCATTATTCGTACAGTCCTGTCTTTTTGCAATTACGTTGTTGAAGCCAATAAATGGACTTTTGTGAAATGGCTATAAGAAAGGAAAAAAGAAAACATTAATGAAATGCTACACAGCATTTGAGAAATATGACTGTAACAAGTCAAGATAATGTGAGAGGAAGTGGTAATCAATGGACACTCCCTCTTAAGTAATTTTAATTCGTTTCATTTGAACTTAGATTTACACTTAGCTTAAAATTTTCAACTGTAAATATGCAGGTAAACAGGACATAAGTATCACTAAAGTCACCATTTTCTGTTCAATGTCTTATGTTCTGTTTAATATTCTATAGGCCTTTTAAAAGTAATAGGAGCAATAACACACGTGTAATCGGGCCACCATGTGTGTGTATGGGTGCGTGTGTGTATAGTACTATTATATGTGTATATACGTTGTATATACATGTATATAGTTTATATATGCTGAATTTTACTTTTATGTAAATTACACATTTTTTATTACATGTATAACAATTTCTGTTTTATGCATTTATTTTTCTTGCTTCTGTCTAGCAACCATCCCAGAGAAGCTGGATGAAATTATAAGTCATCACTTTGGGAATATTCACCTGTAAAAAGTAACACTGTAATTAATATTTCTGAATTTAAAAGTTATTTTATCCTCTAATTTGTTTCATTTTGTTATTTAAATCATAGGGGATACATCTCAGTGAGATTGTGATTCATTTTAAGTCTTCAGAGTAAAGGAACTAATTTCTTCATATAAGTACGCAACATAAGTCTAATAAAAAGCAAATATTTCTTTTTTCATTTTTCAATTAATAGAATAAATTTTACAGGTAAAAACAATTTTAGTAACTTCATTAATTAGATAAGACCTTTTCAATTTATCTAGGTCTGTAGGAAAAGTGAGATCTTAAAGGTGAAATATAAGAGAATTAAGGACCAGTTTAAGACACACAACATCCTGTTTTACTTTCGAAACACCATCCTTAATTTGAAATGTTTGACAATAGTAGTAATAATAATAATAAAATATCATTTTTCGTTTGCTCATAAGGAATCTGAATTGAAGGGACCTATTTTTATATAGAGAAATCACGTGTATACCAGAGGTTAGTAGTTGTGAAGAGGCAACATGTTATGGCCATATTCTTTAATTTTAGTGATTTTTACTCCTGAGAAAACAAATTCTTGAGAAAATGTATTTTTTATTACACTTACATAGATGATTTTTTACATTAAAAAAATTCAAATAGAAAGTAATTTTTGTGGTGGATTTCAAAGATGTATAGCCACAAAGGCACCATAGTAAGTTCACAGTTTGAGCCAAACCAGCTCCTATAGTACCTGTAAACATTAAAACCCAATGAATGTTAGAAGAAGACTTTCTTCTTCACCACCCAGTAACAGAAAGGCTCAACATGACTAACTAAATGTTTTTTAGTATATTTAGTCTATGTACTTACTACTGAGATGAGTAGTAAAATGAATTGATGAGTTTGCAATGTATTAAGCTGTATCAAGACCAAACAAATTTTATTAAGAAGAATGTGCTATTGACTTAGATAAAAACAAACATGAGTACTTTATTTTGACTCAATAATGATTAGGAGATTGTTCTCTTGATAATGAAAGGCACTCTATTACCTGTATTATAGTGTGTTATAGGTGTAGACAGAGCTTTTGTTCTTCTAATACATTTTGCTAAGAGGTTTAGGCTCTAATCTTACAAGTTTAGAATGATGAAGAATGAAGAAACACTGCATAATTATTTTGGGTAGCTTTGAAACAAGAGCATAACTTCCCTAAACCTGAGGATGACAAAGTTAGCTCTGAAAAAAGATGATGAAACAAAGATGTCACCTGATTGTGCAGAGAGATGGAAAGAGGTTCTGTTCTTCCTCCAGAACTCATTGCCTTCACTATTCCTGACATCCCTGCTTCTACTTCTGTTTCTGACTCAGTGCCAAGATATTCTTATGACTAAGGACATATTCATTGAGCTCAAATCGGGTGTCAAAGCATGAACAGAAATTAATGACAATTCTTATGCCCAGTAACAAAATGCCTGATTCACTTATTTTTATACCTAGGCTGAGAAAATAATTCAACACATTTCCCCTCATTGTGATATCATTCATAAGTCTAATGAAAAAAGTCAGAATCTATGGTAAAACTAACTACTTCTGGAAATTAACAAAATCATTTAAGTGTTTTAAAAATATGAAACTCATCTTTAACATCTGAAAACCTTACTTTTCCTTTTCTGAAATGTTCTTTATCTTTGCTGTGGCATCCAAAATATTGGCTTCATTAAAGCTACTAGAATCCACGTATTGTTCATACTTTTATTTACAGTGTAAACTTTTGACTATTTAGATGTTATGTTACTACATAGAATTCTAAGGGTTTTTTTTTTTTTTTTTCCTCTCTCTCTCTCTTAGAATTCTGGGAAAAGAGTTTATCTTAAAATACTTTCCTTTTTGGTCTGTGGTAACTAACTCTATAATAAAAACAAGTCCATCAAAGATGTAAACTATTAACAGATTCTGTAACTTTTTAAAAAAATAGAAGACCTTAAGGTCCATCTAAATTCAATCCTTTATATGAACTAAATCCATATGGAATTTTTTTTTCTCTTCAAGTTCTCTGCTTTACCAGATTTGAATTCAAAATTGAAATCTGTTCCTCTGTTTCCTGACACTTCATTTGTTGTCTTAGTTTTTTAGCTGTAAATTTAAAAACTAAATAAAGAAAATATTAATGCCAGGTATAAGTATGAAATCTGTCTATGGAATGACCAGGCCCATGAATCTTTCACTTTTTCTTCAGGAAATCTTCTTCAACAAAAAGGACAATGGAAAGATGGGGACAAAATGAAAATGCCTTCTCTTTCTGAAGACCTTTTTATAAAGGTCTCACTGGAGAAAGCCTGAACTAGGTTTGTGTATTAACCTTTAAGTGTCCTATCTTTGGAAGGGTTTAAATCCCACAGCAGGTTTACTGTGCCTTTCAATATGATTCTAAACCACTTCAGTTAGCATCTGTTAACAAATTCACTGAAAATTAAACCTTAATGATAACTAAACAAATTATAATTAAAAGTGAATATTATGCAAAAGATCACTAGGATGAACTGAGGTAACTGTATTAAAACATTTAGATTAGTTCATGGTACACTTGTGTAAAATAAACAAGGAGGCCCTCTTTTTCTCTTTTAAATGTTAACAGCTTCTTGTATACAAACAAAAACTCATTTCCTGCTGGTTCATTTTTGGGCCACCTTAAACTAACTGTCCTTCGTCCACTACTAGAATGTATTTAAGAAACACAACCAATTAGTAATTTTAAAGAAAAGTATGTCTTAAAATTATTATAATTTATTGTG